TAGTCATGGAGCAAAAGGGAATTTGTGCTTGAAAATACTGAAATATCTTTTTTTGAAAGAAAGAAACAGAGGAAATTATTAGCAAAGGATTTTTAATAATGTTGTTCTTGCTGAAAAAATATTAAGTGCATGGCTGTTCCCCTGTGCAGCAATCCCATCCCATTCTGGTGAGGCCATCCATGCTATATAAAGTTAAACACGAAACTATCATGATATAAGTTATCTTAATGCTTAAATATGACAGCTCCTGGTCCTTTGCTGTGTTGTGCTGCAGACTAACATGATTTTGGGGTCTCACACCGGTGACCCAGAGGTCAGGGCTGAGGCAGGAGGAACCTCCCACCAAGGATTTGTCCAGGCTCACAGCAGTGTGTGGGGGGGATAATTCCTTACATGACCAATTCCATACCCTTCACAGGTCTTTAAAACAGTAGTAAATTTATTTATGACCATAAATAATAATGATAAATAGTAAGATATAGAAAATATTTACTATATTAAAATGCAATAACTTAAATGCATTTAGAAGGTCAAATGTTTGCTGTAGCAGAGGTGGTATTGCATGGAGTAGAAATGTGTTATTTTATAAGGGTTAATGGTCCTTCTGCACCTGAAGGCTTCAGGGAGGGAGGAGGGGGTAGCAGCAACTGGGGGTGAGGTGACATGCCAGAGCATGTCTCTTGTACTCAGCTTATTGCCAGTTAGTGCCAGTGAATCTCAGCTGCTCTTTAGAGGACTCGCAGCTCATTCTTCATTTCCCAGTGTCTTTTCTCCCCTTTCCCTTCAGCTGGGAAGCTGGGAGCAGCCACAGCCACCTGGCTGCCTTCCTGCACTTTCCTTGTGACGGGTCTGGCAGGGCAGGCTTGGCCACAGCTTTTGCCAGAGCTTTCTTCTCACACGAAAATGTGCCAAGGAACCGCATTGCCAGCAGACACTGTCCCACCCCGAGGATTTACAGCCTGGCCTATAGGAAGGGATGGTCCCTGTTCCCTGGCTCTGCTGCAGACCATGCTGCCTAATGACCCAGGGCCCCTCCCAGGGATACTAAAATATTGTCATACTCTTTTGTTCTGACACTTTCCTCCTCCTTAAAATGTAAGATTTTACCCCTTTTTGAAACCACAGAGACAGAGATTGAAAGGCAGCCCTTTGAGTTTGTTAAAATTTGACTGCAGGGTTCCTTCCGACCCCTCTGCTAATTTTTAGCAGAGCAGGAAACATTAAAAATAACCATGAGAGAAGATTTCCAAACTCAGAAGGATTGTCCTCTTAATAATTTCTGGCTTTGTTTTCACTAGATATTTCCCTCCCTTTAAAATTTTTGTGACATTGTTAGAGCAAGTACCTCCCTGCCAGCAGCAGGAAGGGCACTGGAGGAGGAAGGCAGAGGGCCAGGTAGCCAGGCTGGCACCTCTGCTTGCTCTGAGCCAGAGGTGAGTGATATATGTGGGAAATGCTTATTATTTATTGGAAGAGCTTTTGCATGTGAATCAGAGCTTGCAAGCTCCCCATTGTCCTTTTTTGGTGAACTCAAAGCTGTCCTCAAGCCTTCAGCTGATCTCAGCAATGGGTGAATCTCATTTTTGCAAAGAGAGGTGGCATTTTGGTGCTATATATCAAGAATTCTGAGCTCCTACTGTGAAACAAAATGAAGAAAAATATTGGAATTTGTTTTCAAACATATCTAAATGTAGCCCCTTACTCTGAAGTTGAAATATTGTGTGGCCAAACCAAGGCTTGCATGGAGAGTACATGATGTAGTAACAAGCTCTGCTCAAGCTCCAGCTGAGAACTGTCTGCATTCTCAGCATCATGATATATGTTATTAAGATGTCATTAAATAATATATCATTAGTATACCATAAAATATTTATCATTATACAAATAATGTCCTCACCCAGGTGATGGCAGAGAGGAATGCACCATTGGATCTTTATTCCCACAGCAACACCACATGCCTATGTAACTCTCTGTGAGGGGTCAAACCATGGCATGTGGTTGCAATTGTCACTCCCCCCTGCCCCGTGTCACCAGCTCTCCCTGCTAACCCATCAGTGCCGTCTTCCTCAAAGCACCCAGATCAATGTATTTTGTCCCACTTGGCCAGTGCACTGATGGGTTTGGTCAGGATCGTGTTTTGGAGGAAATTGTTTGAATTTTTTCCTCTGCCTTGTCTTAAAGCATCAGGTTTGTGCCGGGCAGAAAATTCATCCCCTCTCGATGTAGTGAGCACTGAATTATGTGAAGTGTGATCACTGTGTGTGTGATTTAAAGACTTGTGATCAAGAGTGGGTGAAGGATGAGTGAAATTTGCCCCAGGGCAAAAAGCACAGCACAAAGCCACAGTGAAGTTTTCCCTTACTTGGGGTGTCCAGAAAACTCACCTTTTTCATAGACTTTGTGCTGGTTGTTTAAGTGAAAGTGATTTTTGGGTTTTGAGTGGGGGAGTATGGGGTTACTTGTTGTTTTCCTGTTCCTTGTTTATTAAATAAATGAAAGATTGCTTAATCTTTAATTAAAATGACATGGAGGAGGATTCAAATGAAAGACAATAATGATCTCAACACATGGGTACTCCTAAGATTTACAAGGAGTCAAGTCAGCCCAGATTTCAGATGCTTTCTCCTGCTCTACTCATGCAATCCCCTGGCTCCTCTCAGGAGCCCTGCCTTGCTCACACAGACATTTGGCTGGGCAGGTAGAGCAGAGACAATTAAATCCCCAACCCAGACTAACAAGACATTTAAAAGTCTGTGTTAGTCTTGTCCATTCAGTACCATGGCTGGCCAGGAGCCCCTTTGAAACCCTGATGGATATTGTTTCTCTCAAGCATTAAATACTTTCCCTTAAACAAACATCCTCTGAATAGGCCATTGTTTTTCCTTCTGGATGTCCTTTTGTGGACTGATACAAGAATAGCTAAAAGCTGATGAATTGGTATTGTATATTAGAAATAAATAAAATCTGGGACTTCTACTCCTCGGAGAAGTTGAATGTGCAGCCAGTTCTCTGCTCAGGTACCATGTCTTGCCCTCTGGAGGGACAGGGAGTTGCAGGTGAATCACCTCAAACAATCATAGTTTCAGAAAAGAAGCTCCATGGACCTGATGCCTTTCCCAGGTGTTATAATCTAAGCAACTGAGGTTCAATAAAGTAGGGAGGAGGTGTTGGGGAAGAAGAAGTAGTTTGGTTGTGACCTGCAAGCCTTTGCTTGCTGACAGACACAACTGCTTTATTTATATTTTTCATTACTGCTACTTGCACTGGTAGCTCCTTATGAGAAATAATATACATCACGTGGTGAATGTAAACTGTGTTTGATAACTTCAGAAATCTCATGTGTGTGAAGAAATGCCCATTTATTTTCAAGTGAACTTCTCTCATACAGGTGCCCCAGCCCTTATGACCAAGGTACTGATGCCCTGCCCAGTGTTCAGCCACCTGGATTTACCTCTTTCCTAACAGAGCTGTGTCCCCCAGGGTTTCATATTCCATAGCCATTACAGACTGATTTATTCCTTATCAATGGCTGTGAGCTGGAAGGATGCTCTTTTTAGTGCAGCCATTGGCCTCCTCTTACACACCTTTGTCTCTTTTGCCCAATTTCCCCATCACAGATAGAAGTTAAACTAAAAATGAGTCACCCTAATCAGTTCCCTAAGAAATACAGAGACCTTTGGTGCTTTAGCCTTGTGTTGTACCACAGTCCAAACTATGTTTGCTTTGGTAGATCCCCCCAGCTGACAGGGCTGTATTGTGGGAGATGTTTCAGCCCAGCATGTTGGAAGGAGGATGTGCAAGCACAGCCCTTGGATTTGCCATAGGTAGGGGACAAGAACAAGGCTGGGTTGGGTTTGAGCTCACCAGAGCCGGGCTGTGGTGTTGGGTCAGGCTTTGCCACAGGGACATTGATCCCTCCAGGGTGGATCCTTGCCCAGGGAAGCACGGGAGCACACGTTGGAAATCTGGGTGTGAAAGCTTTGACCGAGGGCCTTGCTGACTCGCAACCATCGTGCTGTGTCTCTTCGGGGACAGTTTGCAGGGCTGAGCCTTCTTTGGGCTTAAATAAGGAAAGGTGTTAGGTTTTTGGATTGGTGGGGATTCAGTTCTGGGATTTACCATAACTTGGGGGTGTTTCTTCATCCCCAAGTGCCTGTGTGCCAGCTGCAGCTGAGGGCAGGGGCAGCTTAGAGCACCTGTGCTTCCTCCCCACACACATCCCTTCTCAAAAGCAAAGTTTCCTATGGCCCAACACAGTCAGTGGCTTCACATTAATTAAGGGCATAAATGCCAGAGATGGCAGGGAAATAACCATTTTTCATGTTGATTTACCAGGCAGCAGCCCTAGGAAGGGGAGACCTGGGGAAGAACTGGGGTAACCAAGTGCTTGGTCTTGCAGTTACAAGCACACTTGCAGCTTTGTGTCACTGCAGACGAGCAAAGCACAGAGCTGTCAGCCTGTGGGGCAGATGCACCTTCCCTTTCTCCACAGCAAGAAACCTCTTTCCATCAGTGAGACTTTACTGAGGGTGATGGCTGATACCATCACCCGTCACATCTTGGGTAAATTGGTAGAGATTCAGCAAGTCCTTTGGCAAAAACAAATGGTTCAGGTCCGAGGTTGATGTGAATCACTCGTGGATCTGCTCTGTTTGCCCAAATCAGGGGTGTTTTACTGCTGCTCCTTTTGACTTTACAAGCCTCAGGGAGTCCCAAGTGTTGTGCCAGGGCACTGTCACCTCATCCCTGTCACTAATCCTGTCGCTTCCTTTCACGCTCCTTCATAATCTGCAAATTGTTTGATGCCTCTTACTGTACTTCCCTGAAACCTTCCTGCTGGATTGCATGGATGAAGGATTAGGTATATCATAGAATCATAGCCAAAGATTGTGCTGTACGTAAGTAGAGCCTCTTTCAGAGCATGCCTGATATTGTTGTGTTTGTAAATTGATCATTTATTTATTTATTTTAATAATACTCTCTTTTCCTTCCTTTTCCAGGGGCCTCTTGGTTTGGATGGCAAACCAGTAAGTAGCACCAGGTGCCAAATATAGCATGTCTTTGCTCGTGCTGCTCTGCAATAAATATGCAGAATGTCAACTACTACTCGTTTATTACTACATATATAACAGTTTAAGGGAGAAAATTGTATTTGGGAAATAGCTCCATGGTCTGTAACACATGCAAGTTTGAATTCTGAGCCAGGGCTGGCCAGCACAGCTAGAGGTGACCTTTTTTTTACCTGTCAGCTCATCTCAGCTGCTTCTTCCCCTCCTGTGCCAGCTCAGTGAGCAGAGACTACAGATGGGCATCAGGCCAAATTTGGGAAATAATCTCCAGTAGCATATTCAAAGAAGCAAAGTCAGTAATCTTGGTTGTGTGCTCCTGGCACTACAAAGTGATACCATAAAAGTAATTGATCCCAAAGTGGGTTCCATTTCACTCCAAAGGAGCTGAGGTTGGAACTACTTGAAGAGTGCACAGTGTCCATGCAATACTTTTTGGAACAGCTGGACTTCATTTTATGAGCTGTTTTCTTGACTTCATTTTTTGTTGGAAGCCCTTTGGATATTCAGGTGCTCCACTCTTTTCTTACTCATTTTACAGAAACCCAGACTTTTTTACTTTCATGCTAGCTGAACTCTGGCCAGCTCCAACTCCTTCCGCTGGATGGTTCCTACAGAAGGTCACAGCTCCGTGTTTTGTGTCCAAACCCCATTCTCTTGCACTACCTTTCCTAGAGGGCACAATATGAAATCTTTTATAGTTATGGTCCTAAAGCAGCTGGGACTTCAATGTGGGCAGAAGTCATTCAGTCTTTGCAATTGAAAAGTTACTCCATACACTTATTTCTAGCTAGGTAGGAGATGTGCTGTTAAAGCTGTACGTTGCTGTTGTTGGTTTTTATCCTACCCCTGAAGACAACAAATGTAAATAAAATCTAGAAATAAACGATTAGAAATGAAACAAAAAGGAAGGCCAGCTCACACTGTGGTGCTCGGCTTTGAATCAGCAAAACCCCGTGATGGGAGCACAGTCCTGCACCCAGGGTGCCACTACCAGGCAGGAGTGAGACCCTGAGTGAGGGGCAGGGAAAACCTCAATGAAAAAGCAAATTTATCAAACAGCCAGAGTCAAAGCAGACTGTTCATGATCTCTTCCATGCCAGCAGCCTTGCTTAGAGAGCAATTAACAGTGGGAGGGATGCGTGGGGATGCAGATCTGCCACTGCCGACCTCTCTGCTGACCTTCCCCCACTGCATCCCACTGGGTCCTGCTTCAGCAAACTCCTTGAATTGGTCTGAACCCTGAGATTTGGTATTTTTCTGTGCTGGAAGGAGGATGCAGAGCAGGCACATCACAGTGTTACTCTCGGGTTCTCTCTGGGGCTGCAGTGTGTCTCTGCCTGCCTGTCTTACAGGCAGCTGCTCAGAGGGAAGATGAATGATGCCTTCAGCAAATAGGCCAAAGAAAGCAGCCCGTCCTCCCTGTTTATTTCAAACAGATGTATAATTGTTGTAATGATATGCTGAGCATGTGTTTTTTCTAGAAGTGATTTAATACCTCAAGATATCCTTTTCATCTATTTGGAGTCACGTGTTTGCGAGTGGCTGTCATGCTGCCTGCCCTGCCCTGGTCCTTCTCCATCCTCTGTCCTGGCTGGAACAGGCAGAACCTCACGGGTGCTCTTTTGGAAGTGTGCTGCTTGTGTCAAGCAGTGTGTAACTTTAAAAGAATAGCATGTATGCCTTAAAATAATAGAGAATATGGCTCTGGTTTGTGAATTGATGAATGCAATCTCCTTGTGTTTGGTGTCACGTGCACTGATGATTCTGATGTTCCTTAACTTGGATCCTTTTTGTGTGTTTCCAGGGACCTCCAGGACCAAAAGGGGAAAAGGTAAAGGCTGCATTCACACGTGGCTTTTGGGGAAGCTGGTGTATATCCTCCTGCTGCTGTAATTCTCTCAGTTCATGTTGCCCCAGTATGCCAGCGTGACGCTGGGTTTTGTTGGGATGTGGAGCTGTGACAGTGGGTTCTCAGGTTGCTCTTGGAAAAGCCCCAGGAAGGGAGGGAGGGCAGGAAGAATTTGCAAAAAACTAGGAGAAATAAGTGTGGTCTTAAAGCTCACCCACACTGTAGGGTTTCTGGTAAGCCCTTAAGGGTCACGAGATTGGTATAAATCTCTCTTGGCTCCTCCAGGAGCTCTGGGCTCCATCGCTCCGTGTTTGCATGACATCCTCCCCTGAATGAGAGTGGCCAAAGGAAGTCATTACTGCACTGAAAGTGAAGATAATTCTCACATGTGTAGGACATAAGCAGTTGCTAGGGGAACCTTAGAGTTGGGAACAATCTGCTATTTCTGATTTATTGTCTGTCTCATTGCCTGCCAGGGCAGAACCCTTCCCTATTGTGTTGTCTCGAGCCCTTCTCCTCCCTGGTTTTGAATACATTAAGCAATAGAACACTCTTACCACTTCCCTTGTGTGCTGTACCCACATCCAGCTGACCCTGTGCTTGGTCCTTGGGGGTTGACATTTGAACTCTCAGCTGACCTTGCTGTTTTGCCTGATGTGCAGGGTGAAGCAGGGGACGTCGGCCCAAGGGTAAGTAGTGACACGGCACGTTAATTTATTCCAAAATCTGGTTGGGTTTAGTCACTGCACAAAACAAGGCTTTGTGCAGCTTTGCTGCAAACTGAGGTATGGTAACAATTCTGGAAACGCTTAATTTTGCCTTTGGAGCTCTTTTGTGGTGGTGGTGGTGGTTTTCCTCACTTTGGCCATGAGTAAAAAAGACTTGAAGATCCTTGAGTTCTTCATGAAGGGTTTCACTTTTACTGAACTTTCTTATCCCTGATTTCCTCTTCCAGTGTCAGAGATAGTTTCTCTTGAAGCTGAGCTTCTTATCTGTTGGCATTAGAGCACCACTGCATGGTGGTAGGGCCTGGTGCCCCAAGGAGAGGTCAGGCACAGTGTTGTGCAGGATGGAATGTTCCTCCTGTCTTGCTGAGCCCCCACCTGGGAGCGTGGTGGCACACAGGTGATATCCAGGCTGCCTTTGGAAACAAAGGGTTTCAAGTAACTGTAAAAAAGTTGGCTGGTAGGGTTAGACATCATTGCTGGAAACACAACCAGGGCCTCAGTGGTTAATGTCAGGCAGAGATGCATCAGAGACATCTTTATTTTTCTCCCTTGTGAAGTCACTTTTGGAAGTTGGCGTCATTTTCTGAGGCGGCTCCCAAATGCCTTGGGCGTGTTGGGAAATGTCACCCTTGGGGTCTGAGAGCCCCTCAAATTTCTCTGATAGATTTATGCCCTGCGTGGCTAAGGAGGGGCTCAGCTTAAGGTCTCCACTTTGTCTAAGTGCCCACCCACATACTCAGAAAAGGCTTTAAGAGGTGATTCAGCAGCACAGGGGTGTGAGTTTTCACTCCTTTGCTGGGGCTGATGGCTGAGGAGGTGCTGCTGTGGGAGATGCTCCAGGACAGGCTGTATCTGGAATTGTGGGGCAGGTGACAGCTTCCAAGGTAACACTTGTCCTATGTTTTAATTTACCAAGAAAAAAGTGCTTGGTTTTTTGGTTTTTTCTTTGTTTTGTTTTTGTCCTGATCTTCATTTGTCCAGATTTTGCTTTAGTTGCAGATTTATTTATGTCTCTTTGCACAAGAGTAAGAAAAAGGCTCAAAAACTATTTGGGAGGAAAGAGGGAGAAACAAGCCTGGCAGAGCCAGGCACAAGTAGATCTAAAAACAGGTGCCTGTCTTTGAAAATAGTTTCCTTTATCTCTCCAGACACTCAGGGTTGTGAATTGGATGCGAAACTTCTTAATACCATCTGGCCCAGATTATTTTTTTTTTCTGAATTTAATCTGTCTTCTTCCTCCAGTTTCAGTGGTGGCTTTGTTTAGCTGATTTTGAAAGATGTGTCACTGCAAGTCATCGCATTAATGGGAAGATAAATTATAGTTATAGGACTATGTCCAGTGCCCTCTCCCTCGTAAATGTTCATGTCTATGGGTGGTGGAGTGGGGATAGACTGTGTCAGTAAACATTAAAATATCATCATTAGGAATGACAGATTAAAAGAGAACAATGGTTGGGGCAACTTTGGAGGGACTGTCTGCAGTGGGAGTGAGGTGATGGCAATTGGGGATTAGCTACTGAATATGTTCACGTCTGCACTGCTTCTCTTTCTGTCTGTAATAGACACCTGCCACCAGCATGGACAAAAATAGAGATTATTACATGTTTGAGTGTGCCTGGTGGCGGATGTTGGAGGGTGATTTTGGAAAGCTGAGGAAGATCACATTGGGTTGTCTTAATCACTGAATGCTCGTTCTTGTAAACAGCATGAGGGAGGATGCTGTGCAGCCTCATAGGTCAGGATGGGGAATAAAGGTACCCAAATAGGCTGCTGGAATTCATGGAGGTGTATTTACAGGGAGAAACCAGTAACAGATCCCCTCTGCTCTGGGGAGGATGGAGGCAGTCGAGGCAGGATGCTGCCAAAGCTGTGTCCTGGTATTTGTGCCTGTACTTCTCACTCAACATCAAGTATTCTGCTACACCTCCCAAAAGGTCCGGTTTTATAAGCCAGACTCGCTCCCTGACCCGGCACCGGGATGACTGCTCTGGATTTATGACCTTAGCTGGGTGATCTTGTTCTTACTGACAGCTCAGATGTTCAGACAAACGATGGGGTTGATGAATCTCTGTGCATCTGGGCTGGCGGATGCGCCGCGCCTGTGGCAGCAGCACCAGGACTGCTCCCGAGGGGGGGAAAATGAGCTGCAGCTGGTGAGGGAAATGCTCTGCCTGCAGTGGCCCACGTGGCACGGGCCTGCTCGATGGCCAGTGCTGATGGAGATGGCACCAGCACCACCTGCACCCTGAGATGCCGGGGGGGGCTGAACGCTGGTGTGGCTGAACCAGCTCTGCAGCTCTGCTCCACAAAAGGAGCTTTTTCTCTCTTACTTTCTGCAATATTGTAAGTGCCTGCCAAGCTCAAATTGCAGATAAAAACTCAGCATAGGAAGTGTCCTGCAGAGCTCACTGTGACAGTCAACAGACACCTCTGGATGCTTTTATTTTATTGTTTGCTTACTTTGGAGCATTATGTTGAAGTGGCTGAATGGAGTTGTCTAAAGCTGGAAATTACCAGTGCTCAAGGTTTCAGCTCTAACATTCCACTGCTCCATGGGGTCAGACCCAGCGGCCAGTTAGCCCAGTGCCTTGCAACCAGATGCTTTGGGAAGTGTGGAGCAGGAACATGTAGCTCCATCACAATTAACCCCTCTCCCGGATCCTGGTTATCTGTGGCCTGGGCATTTCTTGAACCAGGGGTGGTGTCTCTGTATTTAATGTCTCTCAGAGATGTTCACCTTTCATGGGCCTGTCAGTAACAGGAACTGTTTAAAATTAAACGTGCCCTGGCTGGATTTGGTGGGATATGGGGTATTTGGCCTCGGAGGAAACACAAATTGTTATTTCACACTAAAACAGTTAGGGCTGGGCTTGGAATGTCCTTCCTTGGATGGTGCTCACCAGTCTGAGGGGCAAGGAAAAAAATTCAGTCTCTGCCTTGCTCTGTGGGCTTTTATGAAAATCCCACTTTATGCCCTTGTGTATCTTTATGAACATAATAAGCCATAAAACTGTGTCTTTTGTGTCTACCACAAAACCCTGTGCTCTCAGTAGAGTCTTTTTGGTGGTTTCTGTAGTATCTGGAGGGCCTGGCCAAGTGCAAGGGGTCTATGTCCCCATTAATTTCAATTTGTCAGGATTTCAGTGACATTCTTCCCAGAAATGGCTGTATTTAAGTGAGTGCTGAGCTGAAGCCTCTCTCTGTAGTTTGAAAAAAATCATTGGGAGGGGTTTATTTTCTCAGGTTGGTTAGTTTTTTCCATCTGACTTTACTTTCCCCTCTCTTTTTGAGAAGATGGTGATAAAACAACTGAGCTCAGTGTTCCTGTGCATGCCTGTGGCTAAGCCTGGGGAGGAGGTGGCCTTGCCCTTGCACTATTTGCACTAAAATTGAGGTTTGGGGTGATCTGTTGTTGGTGTGTAAGGCTTAAAAGCTCCTTGGCAATTTGAAAAAGAGGTTTGTTCCTTAGAAACCTCCAAAAATCCTCATGAAGGATGTGCTCTGTGTTCTCCCAGGGCTTCTTGTGGCTTCACCCCACCCCTTTGATTATCCTATGGATGTGTGCAGGGTTGGGTTGGTGGAGGAAAGGGAGTTGCACAAGGTGCCCTGAGAAAGGAAGTGTCTTACTGTTTCTCCCTAGATGATGAGGGGAAAGGCTAAAAGACAATAGCAATGACTACTGACATGGTCTAAATACATTGTTTTTGCATCATATAAATCCGAGAGATTTATCTGCAATTTACAGGCTGGGGAATACATCAGTATTCATTTTAGCCTCTGAAAACAAAATATAATATTTGGTCTTAGGGAAATGCTGGGATATATTCCCTGCGGGGTTTACTGGAATAATGCTCTTTATTCTGCAGTAGGAGAATTCTTGTCCCAGCTGCTTTGGATGTCCTATTGTGCAGTAAATTCATGAAAAAATACTTGTTTCCCTCAGTCTGTGTCCTGCTTACCAAGGTCCAGTGTATCCAGAACCTTAAAACCACCACTGCTGGCTACCAAGACTATTTCTTTCTCATGCATCAATTAATTATCAAAGACAAATTGTTATATATTGATGTAGCCTTTAAAACCCACTCTTCTGCTGTGCTTTCACCTTAAACTGTTGCTCTTTCTTCTTCTGCCTCCCACTTTCCCTGGCTAGATGGTTTTCCCCCACCTCAATCACGGATTTCTGGCTAATGATCAGCTTGTCTTTAGTCGGCGAGTGCTCAAGGTAGACACCAAATCTGCTGGTTTGTCGTGATTCTTTGAGCTGCTTCTGTTTCTTCCTATTGCTATTTTAAATTGCCACTGCCATGGCTGTGTTTACAGATGCTCAGTGGGGGCGTGTTTGAGTGAAACCCCGTTGGAGTTTAGGGCAGGTGTTTGTCAAAGTAGAGAGACAAAAAACTTATGGGTTTTAGCATTTGCTTCTGTGTGAGATTTTGGAAACAAGCAGCAAAGTCCTAAAAATGTTGATATGAACAGTGCTGGTACTGTAAAATAAAATACATTAAAACTAGAGTAAGCTAAATCCTTGATACTCTAAATGTGACATTTTAATTAGGAAAAATTCAGTGGGAGACTTGACTTGACGTAATTGGTTGCAGTGTTCAGCATTTGCAATAGGGTTTTTTAAAAAACTGTGCAAGTGATTTAGGAGCCCAGATCCTGTTGAAAGGCCGTGGGATTTGTGCTGCTAAGTCACTTAAGGACTTCTGAAAAATCCCACACTTGTCCCTGATTTGAGGGTGAACCACATATTAAATACAGCCCTCTTACTGCCTCGGTGGTGACTCTTCCAGATGTTGCTAAAAGATTTATGAGGCTGCCTTTCCATGAGGCTTTCCATTGTGCAGCCACATGGATGGGCCTGGCCTTGGGGCTGGGCTGGGATACCCGGGCATGGAGCCCCTCAGGATGCTCCCACCAAAGCTTCACAGCCACACAGAGATACTGCTGCTGCTTTTCCTCTGCACCCAAGCAATGCAGGGTGTGAGTGACTCTGGATGATAATATATGGTCTTGGCTGTGTTTAAAGGATGAGACTAAGCACTGCTCCTTTTTTTGTGTGGCTTTTCTGGTGTGGTGCACTAAGCTGTGGCAGTGTGTGCATGCTCCAGGCCAGCATGTTGTGGGTCTGAGTTATTTCTGGGTGCTGTTGAATTGGTAGTTTCCATGCAGACAGTCACTTGCTAAGGGCTTAATGAGATAAAAGCTTGTTGGAAGGCTTTGAGCACAATCCTGATTAAGGAATCAGACCCAAAGGGCATAAATTGGCCATGAGCTCACTTTCAGCCTCCCCAATTGGCAGCTGTAATTAAATTCCCCTGGGACAGCAGAGGCCAGGGTGCTGGTGGCCCAGGGATGCAGTGCATGTGTTGTGGGCACCCTGCAGCCACCGCTTGCCGACGCCGCTTCATCTCACCGTGTCTGTGTGAACTTCTTCCAGGGTGACCGAGGTCGAGATGGAGCCACGGGCCCCCCCGGTCCACCAGGACCCCCAGGTGCCCGGGGGCCTCCTGGTGACACGGGAAAGGATGGCCCAAGAGGACCTCCAGGCTCCCCTGTAAGGACGGGAGATGCGCAGCGAGCTCACGCCGGGCAGTTCCCACCCCCGAGGGAGAGGAGGGTGAAGGGTGTCCCTTCCCCAGTGCTGCCACCCCAGCCACTGCTCCCCAGCTTGAGCCACTGCTGGGCTCCCATGGCTGCCCGTGGAGCCAAGCTCTGGGGCAGGGAGTAGGAGGAGGGATCTTCTGTCTTAAGTTTTGGAGCAAAGAGCTGGACCTGGGCAGGTATTTGCAGGTGTTGTAACTGAGAGACCCCAGAGATCTCTTCCACAATCCACAGCCTTAGGGTGACCTGCTGCAAACCTGCAGACCACTGGCAACTTATTCAATGGAAAAACAGGCTAAGGGATAATGCAGTGGAATGTTCTTAATTATTGCTGGTCATTTTGGAGGCTGTAACAGGTAATAGTTCCAACGTTTTTCTTCTCATCTTCACAGGGTTTCAAAGGCGAGCCAGGAGAGGAAGGACTCATGGTCAGTATTGCCCAGGAGCACCTGTGTGTGTGTGTGTGTGTCCCCCTCACCCCTTGCTTTACATCACCCTTCACCTCACTGCAGCCCAAGAGGGTTTGTTGTTGCTTATGGAGCCCAAAAGAAAGAAAGCCATGTGAAATTTAGATTGCCCTAAAATGGATGTTTGTCCACGGGTACCTGTGCCCTGGGGAGAAAAGAGGCCAGTTGTTTCGTCCCCTTGGCTCTTCTGGAGGGATGTGGTGCTCCTGTATCCTGGTTTCTGCCCCTCTGAAGCCACCTGGCATTGTACTCCCAATTCCCTAAGGTTCAGGTTGGACAAAAAGGTGCTTATTATACATAAAATACATGAGCCATAAAAGAATGTTATTTACTTGACAGCACAGAGAACTTTAACAGTGTAATTTATAAGGGAAGATGAGAAGTTGGCACTTGTGTTATTTTTTTTTTTCCATGAAATTTAAGTACTCTTGGAAATGTTTTTATCCTGTTATACTCTGTTGCTAAACAAGTAAATCACTCCTGTATCCAACAGGGTGCCAGAGGACCTCCAGGACCAAAGGTGGGTGATAATCTGTCTTGTTTTACATGTGAATTCTTGAAATTATGCTGCATAAGAGGGGTGGAGATGAAAATAAGTATTTTGCACTCATCTGTATATACCAGCTATAAAATTCCAAGGTATTGCATTGACTGGGGGTGTAAATGTCTGAATGTGTCACTTCCTCAATATCACAACCACTGCCCATGTTCAAACCTGGAAACAGGGGTGGAGGGAGACACAGGGGGGCTGGAATCTGCTGTGCTGTGAGAATGTGCTTTTTGGAGGGGATAAAGATGATCAACACAAGCCAAGTATTTTGATTTTACAACTGATTCTGACTATCCATACAATTGGTCTTATTTTCTGTTATGTCCCTTAACTTCTTTCTCTTCTGTTGACATTGCTGTTGAAGGGTGAGCCTGGAGTCCAAGGGAAAAAGGTAAAATGGTGATTTTTTTTTTTTTTTAATTATTCTATTTTTTCTTTGCTTTACTCTGTGCTTGACTAGGAAAATCATTGCCAAAAACTGATGGAGAAGCTGTGGTCGTGGATGTCCATACCAACCCTTTACTTGTGTTCCCTGGGGTTTCTCACCCAAGTGATCCTAAATTTCAGGCACAGCCGTTCCTGCAGCCTGGGTTTCATTTCCACAGGCAAGCCAGAAGCTGCAATCACATCTGCCCACTAGACAAAGAATAAAACAGCAAATGCCAAGCAAAGCAGTAGGTCTTGAGCCCTTTGGCTCCAATAATTCAGGCTGAACAGAGATGTGCCTGGAGCTTGAAGCTCCTGGGATGGGCATCCCTGTGCAGAACTGCAGTCCCGTGGGAAATGCCCCTCTTAGGAACAGCCTGCTTGGGTCTGGGACTGAAGATTGTGAGAGATTCACATGTCCAGGCTCTCCACGTTTTCTCCTCGTGGATAAATCACTGCCTTTAACTGAAGCCAAAGCACTGACAGGGCTCAGCCTTCCCCTCTTACTGCCCTGCACCAAAACAGAAGTGGCCGTGGGCGTTTTTCAGGCCAGAATTTGGCTTAAAAAAAATTCATAACTGGCCTCTAAAATTAATCTCTCCAGCACCTATGAAGTGGTTTTACTCCAGGAGAACAATGAAGTGCGACAAGCAGAAAAAGAAAAACCCCTCCTGGCGGGTGGTGTTGGTGACTTGTGGTGAAGTCCATGAGGATGGGTGGCAGCTTACAGGGACAAAAAAATCCTTAAAGGGATTAAATATCTAGTTTCCATTGAAGGTGGGAGAGCACCTTTCCCAGGACCTGCTGTAAGCAAATTCTGAGAGATGCCCATCCACCTTCCCAGGAGCAGGGGAGGCAGAGGCAGGGATGGGTGGGAGCAGGGGACCACTCTGGAGCCTCCTGGGCTCCTTACTGCAGCTCTCGCCTGGCCTCCTGCAAACCTGAGAGGGTTCCAGGTCTATACAACACCCAGTTGGGTCAAATGATGTGTTGGATCCTAATAAATGTGTACAAGGTCTGTGTATTTCACTCTTTAAATTTTATTTCACCAGGGTGATGATGGGATCCCCGGGGAACCAGGACTTGTGGGCCCTAAGGTATGTTCTGCTCTGTGTCCGTCTGGTGCATGTGTTTGGAAGCATCTTTTGCTGTCTGGTTTCTTGGCACCACATCACAGTGGGGGCAGGTTGTGAAGCACATTTCTCCCCTGACATAGAAAAAAGATCAGAAACTTTGAGGGTGGTGAGGCCCCAGCACAGGTTTCCCAGAGAGGTTGTGGCTGCCCCATCCCTGAAATTGTTCCAGGCCAGGCTGGACAGGGGCTCGGACACCTGATCTAGCAGAAGGTGTGTTCCTACCCATGACAGGGGTTTGGAATGAGATGATCTTCAAGATCCCTTTCCAATCCCAACCATTCTGTGATTCCATACTGCGGTTCTGGGGCCAACTTTATGGCTGAACACACCACCCACAGCCAAACTGTTAAGCTTCATTTTTATCTCAAAACCTGCCCATTTGCACCCAAACAATGTGATGTGTTTTACGGCCAAAAGCAGAGCTTTGCTCACTCGTGTAGTAAAATGAAGATAAAGGAAGAAAAGAGTAACCTGAAGAACTCTGTTCTCCACCCTCCCTGTGTAGCATTTGCCTAAATTGCCTTGTTTTCAGGGAGAAAAAGGAAGTGTGGGTCCCAAGGGAGAGAATGGCACCGATGGCTTCCCAGGACCCAAGGTAAATAAAACCCAAACTGACACAAAACAGGGGCATGTTATGAGTATTTTACCTTTTCCTGGTGACTTCAAGCTGGGTTCAAGCAGAGACCAGTAGAAGAGTTTTTTAAATTGTCTCCTGGAATGTTTTCCATTGGATGGCTTTTTTCCTCAAGAGAGGTAAAACTCTGATCACATTTTGATCTCATGTGATTGATGGCTGTGGCATGTGATGAAGAAAGTGGGCTCTGGTGATTCTTAGTAATTTTTTTTTTTCTAGATCCATAGTAACAGATGTTCCCCCTGGTATCTCTTGAATTTAAGGGGGGTTTCTATGCATTTTTACCATTTTTTACTTTTTGGAGGGCTTTGATTTGGTCAGCAAAGGGATTTACATGGGTATGGCAAATGGGATGTTTTTTGAATCCTGAAGTGAATTTCAGGTCACTGCTATGGGAGTACTATGGCTTTTTGAAACTCCCTAATTTTCAAAAAAAATATAGAAAAAAGGAAGAAAGAAAAGGGGAGGGAAAGGGAAAAAAATGAGGAGGGAAAAAAAAGAACAATTTGGCACAGCCCTTTTCCTTAAACTTGCCCTTGAAAATGGTTTAAACATCTTGGCTGAAACTTTCCACATGCAAAACTCAGCCTAAAGCAAAGACAGCCATGTGGAACCAGCACAAAGCTTGGCATGCTTGGAGCTGGAAAGTGGCACATCACCAATACTGGGGGCTCAGCCCTCAGTGGGCCACTCGACTCCCTCTGCAATGAGACCTTCTCTCACTGTCAGCCAACCCACACCAACGTTATTTGTGGCAAAATATATTTGCTCTCAAGTGGAATCTATTTTTTGCTGGGAGAAGCACTCCCTTCTTGGTGTCACACTTAATCTAAAGCATATCCTTATGGGTGGGTACAGTATTTTCAGGATAAATATTCTCTATTTTCCTTGGTCTCTTTGAACCAAAAATGTGATTTTGATTTTCAGGGTGAATCCGGTGAGAAGGGAGGAATTGGCTCCATTGGACCCCGGGTATGGATGTTCAGGATTTCAGTTTGGAGCTGTGTATTTGCCTCAACCTGAGCTGTTCCCCACCACCTCTTTCTGCTTAGTATGTGTTTGAATTGCTTCAGGATCACTTCAGTGCAAGAAAATAGAGATGGTGCATATTTAAACAAATGATTATGCAGGTATCAAATGCTGCCACAGGAGATAGCTCTGGGAGATCAGTCAAGTCCACCCTGTAGCCTTTTTTTTTTTTTTTGCAAGGGGGAAGCTGGGAATAGGGGTGATCAAGTGAGGATTTCCATGCACGTCTCCCTTACACCAACTGATGCCCTTTTGAGGTTTGGTTGGATGGCAGTTCCAGCTGTCAGACCAGGGACTGGTTAAATCTGTGGGGTTTGTGAGGTGATAACCCCCAAGCACTGCATGTCAGGTCTTTGCTTTCATCCCACCCACCTCTCAGTGCTGTAAAATTGAATAGGATTCATCCCTGGTTGCAGGGTCCCCCTGGCCTGAAAGGGGAACAGGGCGACACGGTCGTGATCGACTACGATGGCCGGATCCTGGATGCACTCAAGGTAAGCCCTGCACCAAGGCCATGCAGAGTCCTGCAGTTGATGGGAAAGGACTGAAAGCCTGCCAAGCTCTGCCCTGGTGATGTTGTGATATCTTCTTCCTGTCCTGTGTCTCCTTCCCAAGATCTCTGCCTTGGCACAGAGCTGGCTGGGAGGGAAGAGCTTATTACGCCTGGGGGCTGAGGATATTTAGGATGTACCAACAAAAACCAGTGGAAGAACTCTGGACTGTGAGCTCAGGCTCGTGGGATCCGGCTGTGGGATGTGGGTTAATATTCTGCAGGTAGAAGCAGTGTGACACAGCCATATAAACACCTGATGCAGTGAGTGTGAGCAGCCACATCACAGCTCAGACACTGCCAGCAGCAGGGTGTGATTCCCGTGGTGTGGAGCTGCTGCTGTCACTGTCACCATACACCCTCTTCAAGCAGCACGGGGGATGTAGGAGGAAGGGGAACAGCACCCAAGCCCTGACCTGCCTGACTGAGCAGAGCCCTGCCTTTTTCCTTAGGATGGAATAAGCTGAATAGAGTAAATACTTAATTACAGACAATTGAGAACCATCCTAATTGTTTTATAACAGGCTGCAGGGATACACAAAGTGCTGGTAATTTCCATTTGCCAGATGTCTGCATGGCGTGGAGCTTTTGGGAGTGGAGTTTGTGGAGTGCAGTGGTTGGAAAGGCTCCATCAAACGTCTGGAGGTTCATCTGCTGGGCCCAGACCCTCTCCTATGTTCTGCATGCAGAGGTTGCTGAGGAGCACATCACTGAACCTCGCTAACTTTGCTGTTTTCCTGCTTATTAGCTGCTTGCAGTGTTTGTGCACTGACCCATCTCATGGGCAAGGCTTTGGAAAGGATTCCAGTGTGACTAAATGTAACAGCATTCGAGTGTGCAGCCATGGAAAAAGGTGTTTGAGGATATGATACTGGTTTGGTTTTCATCTCAGTGAGACCACAACTTTTGCTGTTTGAAATAATTTGCTAGTTGGAAAATATGTGTTCATCTCAAGGTGGTTTGTGGTCTCTGCACCCACCAGTGCCCATGAAAAACAGCTTCCTTAAGTGTGCTGTTAGTGCTCACACAAACTCCTTCGTTTCCCCTCTTTAATTGCACCTCCCTGGCTGTTGCTGTTTCCAGCAGGATGCTGCTCCCCAGGCCAGCTGGCAGGAGCACACAGAATGCAAAAAGAAACCACGAGATTTGGGGCCACACCTCTGGCTAGAGGCATTTTGCCTCTTAATCCATGTGCTGCTGCACCTGTACACCCAGCTCACTCCCACTGTGTTTTCTTCTGCATGAACAACCCTGTGCCAGAGGGACCTTGGGTGTCTCTGTGTCAGTGGAGCTCATCTCAGTGTTTGAGCAACCCCACTCACCTGAGAGCCTGTTGCAGGTTGTGGCTGGGAGCTGCTCCTGGCTCATCCCCCCAGCACAAGGATCGTGTGCCATGTTCATGTTGGTCAGGATCAAGCCTGTTTTGTTTGCTGTGTTCCAGGGTCCACCAGGTCCCCCAGGGCCACCTGGCCCCCAAGGCACTCCAGGTCCCAAGGTGAGCTCAACCCCTCCCATGCAGTGTTCCCAAGAAACACTCCATGTGGAGTCTCCCATGGTGATGCTGCCTGAGGAGGAATGTGAGGCTATGTGTGGTAAAGGAAATGCTGTGGATGAAAGGAATTGCTCTGGCTGAAAAAAGGAGGTTTTTACACAAAACCCAAAGTTTTGTTGATCTGTCTCTGGTCTCCAGCCTCTTCCAGAGGATGCTGTCCCAGAAAGGAATCCACTCCCAGTCCCACACCTGACAGGTGAAATCCCAGTCCCTCTGAGACCACTGTGGCAGGAAGCAGAAGCAAATGGGAGAAGCAGTTGTGAGAGGGGCTGGCAATGCCAATGGCTGTGCTGAGCCACCTCAATCCCACCCTTCCCGTGTTCCATTTACTGCCTTCCTGCTTCACAAGCAGGAGTCTGTACCCTGCAGTCAGCTGTAGTTTCTTTAAAAGAAGAATGTAATTTGCAGAAAAGCATCTCTTGGAAGAATGAGATGGGACAGGATTTTGGTGCCCAGGGTTTCATATTTGGATGAGCCAGTAATGCTGGTGCATCACTGACACCTCCTTGGTCCTGAGCCTGGCAGTGGCAAACCCATAACCACAATGGTTGTGTGTGAATAACTCATTCCTTGCAAAATGCTTTCCTGAGATGATTTCCTGATTTAATTTACCACGTGCTTCCCTTTCCTTGTGTCCCTTCAGGGAGAACTGGGCTTGCCAGGACCACCTGGGCTGGACGGTGAAAAGGTGAGCTGGGCTGGATTGAGTGAGGCCTTGCAAGAGCCAAATAAAAAAGACACACAAATACTGTGTGTCTGTGAAGAGCAAATCCAGTCTTCCAGGGGCAAGCTCTGCTCTGTAATGTCAGCTCTGTCTCCTTGAATTGATGCCCCCATCCCGATGCTGCTCCCAGCCATGTCTGCTGAGCTAAAGGGGCTCCTTTAGCTCCTTTATCTGATGAACAAGTGGTTCATCAGATGCTGTCTCCAATTTCTTCATAAAACTTCCCGACCCTAAATGGCTGCAATCCCTACTGTGGCCCAGCCAAATTCTACTGTGCCCTCAAGATTGGCCTACGTGAGTTTGAATGTTAAAACGTGTCCTCCTGAGCTCACGCTGCGATGTGGAGGCAAATGTGGAAAGGCAGAAGGGGCTGTTGTGTTTGGGGTGGGTTTTTTTTTTAACAGTTTTCTCCTAAGCACGTTGTTTTCTGTCAACTTGCAGGGTCCCAAAGGAGCAAAGGGTGACCAGGGCAGCGCAGGGATCACGGGGCAGAAAGGAGAGACAGGAGAAATGGGCTTAGCGGGTCCACCGGTACGTCCCTCTCTGTCCTGTCTATCTGCTGCTTGGTTCTTTAATGTCACTTCTGCAAATGCTCAGAGCGTGGCCAGGTTGGCAGATTTAAGCAGTGACCTGTCCACACCATGTTGCCATGGAAGCTGGTGAATGCAGGAGCTTTGAATTTGCATTTCTAAGGATGATGATAACAGCTCGTTCAGAAGGTACCAAGGAGGAGAAAATCTTCCTTCAAAGCCCCCCCGGGGATGAACATGAGCTTTACTTGAGCCAAGGCTGGAGTTTAGAGGGGGACAAATGTATTTTTCTCTCTTGTTTTTGCTTTCCTGGAAGATGCACCACACCAACGGTACATTTTTATCTTTCAGGGAGCAGAAGGGCCAAAAGGAGACAAAGGAGAAAAAGGAGACACCGGCTCACCGTGTCTGCAGAACAATCATGTAAGATCTCGGCAACATAAAGCCTCTTCCATGATGTGGGGTCAGGCAAAGTTGGGGGGTGCAGGCTGGACCTGCCAGTCCTGTATCCATCAGCAAAACCCAACTGTTGTCTACAAGAACTTTCAGGAGCATCTACATGGGGTTTATTTGTTAGGGAAGAGCAGTTTGGACACTGAGCTACGAAGTGACTTTAGATTTTGCACTGATGGTTGAGATACTGCTGTTATAATTGTTTTGTTCTCAAAACAGAGTAAGCTCCTTGCAGTTATATGGGATTTCTGCATCCTTTTTTCCTTATTCATGCTTATTGCTTAATAAAAAAAGTGGTAGGTTTTGATAGTTTGGGGTTTTTTTTAATAATGACAGGAAAGTTCTAATTTTGTTCAGGGTGTTGGTTTGAGGCTTTGTTTTTTTGTTGTGTGTGGGGGTTTTTTTGGGGGGGAGGTTGTTTTGTTTTGTTGGCTTTTGTGGGTTTGGGTTTTTTTTTTTTAAATAAAAAGTCTGGTTTTCTCCAGTCTGTGCAAAAAATGGCATCACTACATCCATTTTATGACCGGCAAATACACTGAGTGCTGTTGGTCGGGCCTCTTACTTTAGAGGCTACTTTGGTTATTCGTGTGCTTATAAAGATTCTTTTATTTGTAAATACTACAAGCAACTCTTTGATTAGCAGATACTTTGATTAAAGCCATTAAATCAGAGAGCTTTAAAACATGATTCTGGGTTTTGTGAGGTTTCCATTGGAGAACTGCCTTGTCTCTATGCCCAGCCTTGTTAACGTGCCATTTGATTCCCTTCCACAGATCATACCTGAGCCTGGACCCCCTGGATTACCCGGCCCTATGGTAGGACTCTGGAAAGTGATGGCTGCAGATCTGTTATTGCATGTGATTAGTCAAGGACAAGGGTGGTTTGCTCTGTTTAACCATGGTGGGCTGCTGTGAATCTGGGAAAAAAAGTCAGGGAAGAGCTACAGCGCTGTGTTGTGTCTTTGGAGAGATGAAAGCACCCGTTTTAGGAGAGTGCATCAGCATTTGTGGCTCATTTTGCAAATAGCCAAGTTGTTCCTTGGGATGGAGAAAAGATAAAGCCTTGTGGGATGGGAAAATTTGTTCCCCACCATGATGGTGTCTGTATTCCCTAAGTCTGCCCATATCAGTAAGTTCTTTGCCATCAGCTGCACTGGGAGAGGATGGAGGTGGGGAACATGTGAAGCACTTCTGATGCAGATATCTGAGGGGTTTGGTGCCTGAAATGCTCCAAAAGGAGCTGTCAGAGGCATCTGGAAGGCCAGGATGTCTCTGCTGAGTCTGAGATTCACCTTGAGAGACCATGTGTCAAAACCAGGTGGCTTTTCAGGTGGCCTTCATAACCTGTGAGGTGTCCCAGCTGTGCCCAAACTTGCTGTATTTGCTTCAGAAAAATTTTGGGGGGGGCTCTTGCTCCCCAAAACTCATGTTACAGAGCTTTATTTGTCCCTTGATACACTAAGTGGTCCTTTCCAGCTCTCCTTCCCCCTAATTTGATATCAGAGGACCAAATAAACTGCCACCTGTCTCAAAAAGAAATATTTGGCCAGCCATTGCCACACCATAATTTGAGCAAGAAATGGTTTGAGAAGAAAACTTTAGGATGGGTTTATAAATTCTGGGGTTTTTTCAAATGCACCATTGTCTTTCCCACAGGGCCCTCCAGGAATCCAGGGACCTAAAGTAAGTCAATAAATTAAATGTCACCCAGTTTCCCAGCTGCCAGTGCATTATTTACAGGCTCACAAAAGGCCTGTCAGCTCTGGAGACTGACTTTTTTTTTTTTTTTTGGGTCACTGTTGTCACAACAAATCCCTTGGTTACACTGTTCAGCAGTTGGTGTTCCAGAAAACAAGCAGTTTGTCCTTCCAAACACATTTACGACCCAAAACCCTCCTCCAGCAGAGTCCTGAGGGCTGGCAGCACATGTGAGTCAGGGTTTCCAAACCAAAAGGCTTCAACCTGCATTTTCAACTATTTTCTTATATGACTTGGTCAAGAGGAAAACATGGCCAGCAGTGTGGGTGAAAGCATCCCAGAGAAGGGGGCAGGGGAGGTGGTGGGTGTGTGGGGTGGCTGCCCTGGGCAGAGCTGCCAGCTGATGCCATTTCATTTATGCAGGGTTTGGACGGTGCAAAGGGAGAAAAAGGTGACACTGGTGAGAAGGGGGACCACGGTGACACTGGACCCGCTGTGAGTAGTTTTCCCAAATCTCATTTCTGGCTGTTGGCAGCAACCTGCCTGACAGCAATGATCCCAATGCCCTGTTTCTTTGTAACTTCAGGGTCTCCCAGGCGCTCCAGGGCTCATTGGATTACCTGGTACCAAAGGAGAGAAGGTAATCCTTGGGGTGGGAGAGGAGAGGTGGCATTGGGGTGCAATCCTAAAACAGGGGCTGAGTCCAGCCGGAGCTGCAGAGCTGGACTGACCAGCACTACAAGGAGCAGCCTCCAACCCCAGGGGCTGCTGAGTGAACCTGTGCTCTTACTACCATATTACACCAACTGGATATAAGTTTGTCTGCAACACCAAACTCAACACAGCATGTCTTAATTTTGATTTTATGTCTTAATTTTTATTTTTACAACCGCAGGGAAAGCCAGGGGAGCCAGGATTGGATGTGAGTATGGAAACCATTAATTATTTATGTATAAACATGAATAACATGCATGTAACTTGAGAGTGTTGGGAAAATATGCAGCTAAGATTGTACAGATTACTCTCCCTTAAACACAGTGCCCGTGGAATGATGTCTGTAGGAAAGGGCTGAATTCAGACCAGTTGGTGGGATACTTCCCCTGCACAGTGGAACTGCTCGGCTAAAGGTGCCGTGGGGGTTTTCCCTTCCAACTGAGGATATTTGTATGGGATTCAGTCAAATGAAACTCTAATACCTGTAACATTACTGGGGTGTGGTGGAGCACTCCAGCTTTCCCAAGAAATTGCTGACACACGAAGTAAAACTGGAAGAAAATGTCATTCTTCACCACGGCAGGATGGGCTGATGAACTGAGATGCCATGATGTTCACAGACTGAACTTACAAAACCTTTTTTTTTTCCTCTTTTTCCCCACCTAAAATTGTTGTGATAGGGTTTCCCAGGTCTCAGAGGAGAGAAAGGAGAGAGAAGTGAAAGAGGCGAGAAGGTGAGTGGGTTATGGCTGCAGACACATTCATGGGGCAGGACAAGCAGCTCTTTCTGCCAGGTTGCCCTGGGTGCTGGTCCTCTCTTGGCTGTTTCTCAAGTAATTCCTGAAAGGCCTTTTCCATAGCACAAGTACTTGCCTGGTCCCAGTGTAGGGCAGGACAGGCAGTTAATTCCTACCCACTTGGAAGAGCTTTCGACCCCCACCGTGGGGAAATGGAGCAGCCTGACAGCTCCAGGTTGCAAAGAATTGCTGGTCTTGGTTTCTAGACCTTGAAAATAGATCCAAGGCAAAGGTTTTGCTACAGGGATCCTTAAACAAAGGGATGCCCAGCTGCGTCCAGGGCAGTGGCTGGAAGCTGCTGCTCCCACTTGCTGTCAGATACCAACCTTTAGTCAATCAATTATCTATTACAATATCTCCACCTAGCTTTTAACTAAAGATTTTCACAGTGATTTAATTACTCAGCTGAGGTTACACTTGTGCAACTGTCCCTACTCTGGGTGAGGAGTGGGACTCTGTAAGTGCTGTGAGACATAAAGCAAAGGTGTTCCTTCTCCTTTTTCCTGATATTTTCCTGTTGTGCTGACAGGGTGAGCGAGGAATACCAGGGAGAAAAGGAGCCAAGGGGCAGAAGGGGGAACCAGGCCCCCCTGGACTGGATCAGCCTTGTCCTGTGGTATGTCTTCCATTTCCCTCATCCTGAGCTCGGGTTGCTGGGGCTGAAAAGGAGCCACAGCTTTTCAGCCAGGGAAAAGGAGGGAGGATTTGGGAGTTCTCTGTTTTGCAGTAAATCAGAGCAGATGGTTATTGTTTTCTCACTTTTCTTACTGGTTTATCTGCACTGCTGGAAGTTCACTGCTTGTTGTAAGGGCTCCTCACTGGCCAGATGGGAGCAAGACACAGCAGTAAAAATAAAGGATCTTTGTGTAAAGACCTTCTTATTGTAGTCAGGAACAATGGACCTCAGTAGAGCTCTTCAGGAGATAGTGTGAAGCTGCAGGCCTGGCTTCTAAGCATGTCTGAAATCAGGGGGTAACTGGGTGCTGTGCATGGGAGGTGATTTGAAAACAAGGTCAGCTCTATCTGTTCATCCCAGCAAACCAAGCGAGGGACGAGCCTGGGGAAGTGTCTTAGAGTTGATGCCATCATAGTTCTGCCGAAGAGAAGTGATGGATGAGCTGGAGCTGGAGCTCCCCAGGCTGCCAAGAAGTGCCTCTGGGAGAAGAGACCTCCCTGGGTTTCTCTGCCTGTGGCTCAGATCTGTCCCTTCTCAGTCAGACACATCCTGGGCCACCACTGTGCAGTGCCTACAAAGACAGGCTTTCCAGGAAACCTCCTGGGTGTTTGAGCCAGGGGAACCTGGATCTCCCAAGTGCACTTCCAGAACCTCTCATTCACTTGACAAAGCCCAGGAAAAAAAAAAATCTGGACTGATTTATAAGTTATTTGACCTGGTAAAATTTACCTCCTTTTCATTACTGTTTTTCATATATTGACTAAAACCAGAGAGATCCTTTCCCTAAAGTGCTTTGAAGGGTGCAGGATGAAAAGTATCAAATATTGAACTGAAACTGCTTAAATGTACCTGTTTAAGACTTTAGTTCAGAGGCACCAAATAGTGCCAGGTACTTGCTCTAACACGATCCAAAAACCCATTTCTTGTCTAAATGTGTGACTTTTCCTCAGCCTGCCAGCACAGCTATAGCAGCCAAAACTGTTGTGTAGCTCCACACCAGTAAAAAGCTCCTTTAGTCAATATGCTTTATTTTGCCCAGAGATTGAATGTGAACTACCATTAATTTTTTCCTCCCTCAACATGTTGGGGTGATTTACCTCTTACCTCTCTGACTGTGCTGTTACAAATGTGAATCTCTGGTTTGTGTATAGATGATCTTTCCCAGATGACAGACTCGGCGTGTCTGTGAATTCCCTACCATAAAACCACTCTGCTGACTTGCTGTGTCATCAGAAATGGAGCTGTGAAGCTCTAGACCTGTCCTCCTCCTCCTTCTCCTCTGCTGAAACGTGGGTGTCTGTCTGAGTAACTTCTGGTCCTTTATCATTCTCAACAAGCAGTTGTTTTTCCAAACAGGGAGATCATAGCATTGCAGGCAGCAAAAGGGAGCCAGGTTTGCCAGGCCTGGATGGGCTGAGCGTGCCTTGCCCTTTGGTACAGTATCTGCTCTCTCTCTTTCTTGCATGGCTTGTTGTGTGTGTTCCTGCTGTGGCCAAGCCCTGTCCTGAGAAGCAAATCCCTCCAGGGAGAGGAAGGACACAAGGCAGCAGGGCTGGAACGAGATGTTTCACTTTGGCATTTGGGAAAGGATGCCAATGTCTTGTTCCTGCTTCCTCCCAGTTAAAATGCCTTTAGATAAGGAGTGTAAACCATGGGAGATCATGTAGAGGATGCTGGTCCCTTCATGGTAACAGATGCTCAAAGTTAGCTATGGTTTCTCTCAGCACCTGTGGCCCAGTTTGGTTCCCCTCGTGCTGGTGCAGCCCTGTGAGTCCCATTCCCAGCTGAGATTTGAAAAGCTTCCCTCAAATGAAGGGGCAGCCCTGCAGAGCAGGGTCACCAGCACTCTGGGCATCAGAAGGGCTTTGCTGTGTCAGCACTGAGCTCAGGTTGGGTCCAGTGGTTATGCAGGAAGGTTCGTGCTCTCCTCCCCAAAAGGGCTCTGCTCAACTAGTCATTGTTTTATTTTCATTTTTTTTAACCATAGAAAATGCTGCATGTCAGATGATTTGCAGTTGTCCTCAGAGAAACAAAAGGGCAGTAAGCTGTTTCTCTTTCAAAAAGTTAAATTACTTTCAGATGTGTCAAAGAAACCAATTCCTAACAGCAGGCCCTGCTCCAACTCTCCATATTTACTCCCCAGAGATGTTCTATTCACCAAGCATCTCCCATCTTAACTGTACAGAAAACACAGGACCTATGTGTATTGAAGGCATTGTAAACTGCAGTAGGTGATTTCTCCAAGATGTAACTACAACATGACCAGTTAGTAAAGCCCTTGCACATCTCCCTGTCTGTGTATATGAAGGGCAGTTGCATGTTGGTTGGAATGGTGACTTTGTTCTCCACCCCACCATGTGGTGGAGGCTTTCTGGGCTCTCAGTGATGGCTTTTAGTCCAGGAGCATCAGCACGAGCCTTACACACAGGCCACAAAGCTCTTTTTAAGTTGACAAGTCATTTTGGAATCACTGGAGTGAAATGTGGTAGAAAGGCTGGAGTTTTATGATGGCCAAAGTTAAGTATTTTGAGGAAGGAGAAAAAAACAGGGCAGAAATCAACTCTGTGACCATCCATGTTAGGGTGTGCTTTAACAGCAAGTCAGGATGTTTCTTGGTCAAATGACTGCTCTGCAACTTGTCCCCTGTACCCTTCACCCCCAGACAACTCTGGCAAATGTTCCAGTTGCACTTTTCTTATGAATAGTTATGGACCAAAATATTGACCGTGTCTGCAGAAAAATGTGTATTTTCTAACTAATGTCACAGGAAAGCATGTGAAAATAACTTCTTACACTGTGAGTAGCTGGAGAGGGTAACCTTACTTCACTGCATCTGTTTTATTGGGCATAGGCTATTTTACATATAAAATCAATACAGAATACAAAAAATGTGATGACTGACATTTACAGTAAAAAATGTAAAATTGCATTTTGACCTCTGTTTGCACTGGCAGTTCCCTCTGCTGCACACATATTCCCATGGCTTCCCACCCCCAGGGAATCTGAGGTGGCTCTGAGGGAAGGGTCAGTGCATGTGTGCTCTCTGTGGCTCTACATGCAGAAATTCATGTAATTGGAGATCCAAGAGCCTTAAAAAATTCCAGCATCACAAAAGGCAGCTGAAGTCAGCTATTTCTTCTAAAGTGTCTTGAAAGAGCTGGTCATACAAAGCCCATTCCTCTTCTAAGAGGCTCCTTCCTTTTCAGTGCTCTCCTCCTGGTCAGTGAGCTCTTCTCTGGCTTTCTGGTTTTTGTGTGCTTCTTGAATCTCCATTGGAACATGACATATTTTCACCCCCTTTGCATAGTCCACAACTCATCCTATGTCAATCAGTTCAGCAACTCAAGATTTCTTAAAGAAACTAAGTACTGCAGGATCAAATTTAACACAATCAGGATACCATCCAGGAAAAAAAAGACCTACATCACCTCCCCCCCAGTTGAAAAGTACATTTTAACAGAAAGTACATTTCCACATCATGCTTTCCATATTTATGTCTGATTGCAAAACCCACTACCTCATAAAACAGATCATGATGTTAATGAACTGTGGTTTCAAATCTTTATATTTGTTCACATTTTCTTTTTTGTTTAAAGGAAAACAGAAAGTGTAGATTTCTGATTTTTTTTTTACCCTGGGGTCTATTCAATTTTGTGTTGTGTGTGACACATGGATTACATTGCCTGCATATTTATTGTTGTGCATATACAGTAAATGGGTTTTGCATGGTAATTAACAGTGCTGCTAAACTATTCATTGTTGTGACAACTGAGCTTCAGGTTTTTGAGTCTGACACTTAAGCCACTGTCAAGAAAACTGAATCTGTAAATTCAATTTTGCAGGGACCAGACGGACTGCCAGTAGCAGGATGTTGGCATAAGGTACAGTAACATTAATAACTGTATATCCTTGAACAGGCCCCAAGTAATTTTTCTGGCTGCATGATGACTGTTTGCATGTCCTTTATATGCCTGGCAGACATGATGTCATGCCTTTGGAGAGCAGGATTCCAGCAGCTTCATGTCTTGTTCCCCACTGCTCCAGATTGGTGCTGGGAACACCAAGAACTTGCTAAGCACAAAAAAAATCATTGTTGTTAATACTATCAGTAGAATGCCTTTTTACAGGCTTGCTCAGGCTTTTGTTATGGCACAGGCAGCTTAGGAACCACTTGTGGAAAGGCTGCAGCACCCTGCAAGATGTGCTCCTGTAACTTATTCAGCTCATAACCTCTAGATGAGAATTTTACAGTGGGTTATTGCTTTGTTGCAGAGTTACAAACATTTGTGGCCAAACAAGGGCTCTTCTACCATTGTAATTATAACCCAGAGCCACCACACTGGCTGAGTGCTCCAATACCCTGGGTGCAGGTAATTCATTCCGTCTCCTGCACCCAGAACAGCCAAGGGTGTTATGTGCTAATGCAGCCTGGGAGAATGAGGAAAGGTGTGTCCACTGGGACATGAGGATTTAATTCAGACTTGCAGGAGGATGCTCATTCTCTGACAAGGGTATGACACTGAAGCTGAGAGGAATTACTAACCCAGTTGTATGTGGATGTAGTTGGGAGTTAACAGCAAGCATGTTACTAACTGGTTGCAAACCCTCAGTTAGAATGTGAGCACACCCTTAGTACATCGAAGTTTTTAATTATGTGTAAGTCATTTGGATGTCTTGTTAATATTAAAAGAAATTTGAATACCAATCCTTATAATAATAACAATAAGATTAGTAAGTGTAAGGAATGGAGCATTTATCTGATTAAAATGTTTGTCTGTGTGTTCTTTTTCAGTGATCCCTAAGCATGAAGCACAATATGTAAATAATGTGATATATTTTGATCTTTTTAATTTTTGTATAAAAAAAGGAAAAAAAAAACTTTCGACAGTAATATATTGACCTTTTTTTATACTGGATTCTGACATTTACGGACTTGGAAAATATTGTAAAGCTCCTAAACCCATAAAATATGCATGGTAACACCAGGATTTGATAAAGGTACTGCTGCCAGTAGCTGGGAATGAACAGTATTTTCACTGCTCGTGCTGCTGTGTGAACTAACAGTACTGAGCCAGCTGCTCGTGTGCCTCATCGCATGGAGTAAACCCTGTCCTAGTCTGGCTCTCACCTCTGTATCTGCATTGCACATGCACACTGAAAGGGTGAAAGAACCTGGCTGAAAACAAAGAAAAAGAGGATGCAGCCCTGAAAATGGAAGAAGTTACTGTAAACTGTCTGGTCAGACAGGAGAAGGACTTGCAACCTGCAGAGGAGACAAAGCCGAGCTCCGTTCGTCGCTGCTGCTGGGGTGGAAACAGCAGCTCTGGGGCTGAACAAACAACCCTGACTGCCTGGGGTTATTCTACAACCATGAGAAGCTTTTTTCCCCTCAAGGGGAAGCACCTCTGGGTCCTCTTCTGGGGTCTGTGCCTGAAGATGTGCCAGCACTTTGTTACTGTGGAAGCTGAATTCCCCAGGAAGCCTCCGCTGGAGAATTTCCAAACAAAAAAATGTGGCAATACTTTCAGGACAGGGAGAGCTCTGCTGAAGTCCCTTCTTAAACAACAGAGCACATAATTTTGCTGTTGGGATTCCTAGAACTTGGGAGTTTGGAGTATTTAATTGTCTTGTTTTGTGGGTTTCATTTACTTTTTATTTTTTCTTGGTTTACATGGTTTTAACTGTAAACTAACTCTGCACACTCCTCTTGTCTTCTTCCTTCTCTCCCCCTTTTCAGTCTCTTTCTTTAAACTATCTCAGGCACATCCCATGCAGAGCAGGGCAATGAATAAGAGGATTATTATTTTGATATCTGCATATGCCACTGCAAGATCGATTAAAAACTATTCCTCAGTTCCCATTTTTTAAGATGTTGAAAAAAACAGAGGCTGTGCAGTAGAGAGCCATAAACAATTATTTCAAAGAGGAAAAGGATGGCTTACAGCCGAGTCTGTTCAGCTTACAATGAAAATCAAGAGGCAACCAGATTCCTTTACAGGGAGGAGATACTTTCTATTAACAAGTTCTTCAACTGAACAGAGAAACATGTACAAATATTCATCCAATGGGTAGAAGCTGAAGCTACACAAACTCAAATAAGCAAGCTGTGGATTTTTATTGGTGAGACTGATTAATCCTAACCAGGCCAGTGATGTAATCCCCATCACCTTAATGCCATTTTGATTTAAGAGATCATTTCTGGAGGAAATACTTTAGCCCCAGACAAGTTGCTGGGTTCTGTGCGGGCGTCTTAGGTGAATGAAGAGCCTGACCACAATATCAGATGATATCAGGGTTCTTTGTGGCCTTGATCTTAAAGAATACAGAAGGGAGTCATTTTTGGTGCCCTGAGTAGATTCAAAAACCTCTGTTAAATTCTTGCTTCGCTGCAACTCTTACTGCAGCTACTGCCAGAGAGGGCTTGAGAGAGGGATGTGACTGTCCAGGTGCAACTGCCCTGTACAAGCTGACCTAGTGCTACAGGAATTCTTGCTCCAGTGTTCTGAAGAACAGTGGGAATGTGCTTTGTGCTCCGTGCAGGCTGGGTGATGTCTGTGGGTTACCTGTGACTGGATCCTGGGTGTCCTTGAGCTCATCCCTTTAGCTGGGAGGGTGTGTTGTGTGCTGGTCGATGCTGCACTGCCCATCTGCCTTGGTGGGTGTGGACACAGAAGACTTAAGGGCTGTAGGCAGTGGACTTGTTACCTGTCGTTGTTGGCTGCTTAGGGTCTACACCTACACATCACTTGTGGCTATACTTGGCATTTTCACCAGTTACTCACCATTCTCTTGGTCACCATATAGATTAAATCCATGTAAATTCGTATCAACTAACAAATCAAGAAACAAGAATTATGTAACTCAAAACAGCAATGAAAATGCATTTTATTTACTTCCATTTCATGTTCTTAGCTATCACTTTTGGTGTAGGGGTTTTTAAAGGCATAAGGAGCAGCTAACAAGCTCCCACTGGTTTTTAGTGCTTTTGAAAAACCCCTTTATTGTCCCAAATTAAAGCTAAAAAAATCTTCTGTGAAAGGTTGAAGGCAAATCTCTCATTGATGTCTCCAGGAAGATCTGTAATTGTTCCCTTAATGTACAGTTGCTCTTCCCATCTGCCACAGTCATCTCCAAACTAAAAGCAATTCACTACTCCAAACCACACTGTGGGCTTCTACACTCAAATTCCTGCCCGTGTCCTGATCACGGAACCTCTTTCAGTATCAATGAGAGTTCAGTCCCCAGAATGACTGCAAAAAGCACAAGAATCTGGAAGTGTCCACAAACAATCTACAATGCAGATAGAAAAGTCTTGTTTTACATACGCTGGCAAAAACTAAACAGCTTTCTATCTAGCTCCTACTTGAAGAAGTTTGATATCACTGAAGCTACAAGACAAGCTAACCTCCAAAGCTTATGAAATTATATTAAAATTTATATTTTCTCTGAGGAAATACCCCGAAGTCCTATTATCTTCAGGTAAACAAGTCAGTATTCCGTCTTCAACTTGTGGAATATCCAGTGCTTGTAGGCATCAACTGTGACCACTGCCAGGCCTGCAAAACATTGATACAGAATACCAGAATAGTGCTTTACCTATTGCTCCTCACCGTCCCCCTCCCAGCACAGAGCTCTGCTGCCACAGCACCCGGGACATTGGTTGTTAGGGAGGAAGAGCTCGTTTGGAATCACCTAAACCTCGTAACCAGGGTGCTTATTCCCCATCCCTGAGGCACAGCCTGACCATTCACAGCGTTTCCACACCACTCAAGGAAGGCTGGAATTATTTTCCTAGCACGGGACTACACCTGCTATCCAACACCCACCAGTGCCACACCTCAGCAGCCAAACGTTTTGGTGCTCACCTTTGGAAACTCCCAGGCAAATACCCTTGGGTTGGTTCAGCCGTGCACCTGCAGCAGCGAGGGATGTTCAGGACATCTGACTGACTGCCCCTGTACAGATCAGCCATCTGTGCTCAGTCACTTCTCTGGACTCCTGCCACTGCCATTCCCACCAGGAATGCTGGCAGGTACGGATCCTGCTGTATGCTGTTGCCACTTTGGCTATGAGGAACTAACCAGTCTCCAAGGCCTGTGGGTGGTACATCTCCTCTACCAATCCCTTCCACCACCGAAGCAGTGGAGCTCTGTGGAGAGCAGAGCTCCTCAGAGCAGAGCAGGGAATGGATCCCCAGGCAGGGCTGAGGTTCTGATCAGCACTTGAAGTCCCTCCTGGTCCTCAGCTGAGATCATGCATTTGACCTTTATGTTCTGAACTGAGTGTACCTGGTTCCTTGCCCATTGTAGGGGGTTGGAACTAGATGACCTTTAAAGTTCCTTCAAACCCAAACCATTCTGTGATTATCAATCATATCATTCAGAGCAACAGACTGTATTAGAGGGACTGCTGGGTTTTCTATGGATTGCAGAGAGTATAAGAGGGAATCTGTTTAACTTCCATGTGCCTTCCACACACACACACATATTCAGAAGAGTAGGTTGTTAAATACAGAGCAGTCATGATCTTATTGCAGTGAGTTAAAAAAAGATGTGCTTTGCTCAGCAACTTCATGCCAGATCAGTTGATTATTTTCTCCTTCCAGATGAAAATGTTTATGTGGGTCTTTTTGAATACTTTTGAGTTTGCAAATAGCTCACAAAGACAAATTTTACTTTTAGGTATTACTGGCAGTCTTGCTCCAACTCAGTCATGCTCTCAGTCTCTCACAAAGCATAGGGCATTTTTTCCCCAGGAAACCTCTCTTGTTTTCCCCTCTGGTTGGAAAGAATGTGAGACTGTTTTACAGCAATTCTTAAGTGCAGCAAAATGTTACCACTATATGTCAGTAGCAATAAGGATGATTGACAGGGAGGCTGCTAATGCTTATGAAATGTGGGTCAGTCTGAGACCTGAACTTGATTTTTCTTGATCACTAAAATATTTGGTATATTGACTTCATGGATTCATCAACAGACATTCTGGGTAACACACTGAAGTTACCGGTCTTTTCTAGGGAACCTGAAACTCAGACAAATTTATTTCTGTTTTCTAGTTTACAAACCAAAATTCCTTTCCCTAATTAAAATGCCTGTGAAAGCATGGTGGTTTCCATTAGGTTAAGCTAACCATGTCTGCCTGCTGCCCGGGAGCAGAGGACAAGCAGCCTTCTTTAAGGCTTGTTCTATTTAAAATTGTGGCTGACAATTATCTTTCCAGTTGCTACCAACATCCTCTCTCTAACACGCTGCAGGAAGCAAAGTTCCCAAACTGAATCCTTAGGGCACAAGAGCTCACTTGAAACCCCTGAGAAGGTTTTTCAGCCACAAAGCTCTGCAGGCAGGGCTGCCTTGCCACGAGACACGGCAGATGTGGTGCGTGACTGACTCTGGCTGTGGCTGTGGGGGTTGTGTCAGTCCTGGTGCCCCAGGAGTGGTGATGCTGCACCCAACTCTAAGTATGGGGAGCACTCCCTAAAGCTTCTGGGGAGAATGGATTTGGGGGAGAGCAACTCCAGCAGTGCTGGGAGTGTGCTGGCAGCTCGAGAGGGCCCTTGCCAGAGCATGAACCCGATGATTTGGCCTGTGCTGATGGGGACAAGCGAGATTAATTAAGAGTTTTGCAGCTGAATCGTGGCTTGGCCAGTGAGTTCAGGAATATTTCTCTGGATTATGAAACAGGTGGCAGAGAAATCCTGATCTGACTCCAAGTTGGAACTGTTTCCAAGTGTCAATGAACCAAGATTTTACTTTAAAAAAAAAATCATCAAGATGTTGCCACATGCTTTGTTTTATTCCCATGGAGGAGTCCTGTACTCACTGCTTCTGACACTTGCTGTATATAGAATGGTGATTTCCA